CGTTTTCTCTCCCCCCGGACTATTGACTCCAGTCCTGCCGACACCAAAACCAAAACCACCCCCTGAAATGTCGAAAAGCTCATTTGCGGGAAGAATAAACGCATGAAAAATGGAACTGACTGTGGAGGGATCGCGGGTCACCCCTACACAAAACACCTGCCAATTAGACAGGAGACCGAGAACTATTACCGAGTCTTCGCCTCGCAGAAGGCGGCTGGACGGGCAGACTCGGACCAGCTGTGTCGCTGCGGTTGTGCGGTACCTCGTATCTGACGAGCTGTAGTTTTGATTGTGATAGATTCGGACCCCCTGGGGGTTTGCACTGACCAGGGCTAAAGAGTGACGACCTCTGGGATCACTGGTCATTCCTCTCTGGACACTGCTCCAAGCCGGACGTCCGGAGTGCGCTCACTGGACTTACCATACCTGTGGACTTACTACAGCTAGAGTCTTTTCTTTCTGTCGATATCAGTGACGTCCCTTGACGCCCCTGGACCTTCGGACAGTCTCCATTGACCACAAAGCAGGTATCTTCACCATTGTTTGCTATTCCCCATCTCTATAGCATACCCACATCCTTACCACACTGCCTCCTCTTGTCCGCTAATCGCCTCTGGAAGGGAGGACAGAAAAACTATCTTTTACTAAATTGCGCGAAACAGCAAGGCTTTGTCGACGACGTCGCATGTTGTATGTGCTCACGACGTTGTCTCCTTTGTAAGTCGCTGGATCTATAAATCTTAGTTCAGCTTTCCCTACAGACTGTGTCTGTCTTTTTCTTGTGATTCAACATTTCGTATCTGATATCCCGCGTAAACAGTTGCTGTAACTACTACCCCCCTCCCCCACCCACGACATGCATGGCTAACTAACGTGTACCGTTTACATGCATCCCGTTCGTGACATGAATATCAGAAGTTGTTTTTAAGTACACCGCTGCCGCGGCTTTGGTGTAGCCGTTGTTGATTTATGTCTTTGGGGCTTGTAAGCGCGACCTACTGCTAACCCTACCGTCACGGAGTGGAGCTATGTAATGGTCCGAGCGATGGGGACTGGCAAATCACTCCTCCCTGACACAGAAGAACTTAAAAAGAGACTGTTCTATTAACCTTTGCGTTCGCAAAATTTCTTTCATGTCACTTTGTTTTTAAGATACTAGTAGTGCAATTGCAAGAAACTATGCTTTTCTATAGTCTGCCATTCAAATCTGCTATAGCTGCCGGATAGATCTCTTTCGTCTGCTATTTGCGTAGACAATGGTAGAGGACGAAAGAAACTTGACATATAATTAAAATAGGTTTGGATACCTTTTCTATAAAAGTTAACTTTTGTTCGAGCTTGGTTTGGGATATCTGGTATCTTCCCTTCGTTTATTAGTCTGTCAAGTTGATGAGATAATGTATCAACATAAATTTACATTACAAGTCTCTTGAGACAACCCGACTCCTAATCCTACATTTCATCATCATAACGGTAGCTGATGTGATACATTACCGTTACTTTCAAAAGATTACGCTCGGTAATACCAACCAATGGAAAAGGTAGATCGCCCTAACCATAGCTGATATAGCTAGCCACAGAGAGATATGCGTTTTAAACTGGCGCAGAAGAGATTTGAACTAAAACCAGAAGTCGACTCTGCCATTAAAAGATTACACTAATTAAGGCCAGGCTTTTCTTTTACCACAGTATTTGTTTTGTTTTCTTAAGCTTTCTTGGCCACCAGCCGTTCGTCTGACTAAACAAGAAATAAAATACTGAGTAAGCGGCAAGATGAGACAAGTAACCCCCTCTCCATGTGTGTACTGCAATAAAGATCGTGTTGTGGTATCAAACCGTGAGCAGGACAGTCGGAAGGGAGGGGCTATCTCTTCAGGAAACTGATGATACTTTGAGACGGATGCGCAGGAAGGGAGGCTTGTAGTCTAGAGATTCGGGGATTTATACTTATAGTCTCTATCAGGCTCTTTGGGATTAGTTAAGGAATGTGCAATGCAGCGTTTGACTAACTCATAGAAAAAACAACTAGCCCCCTTTTTTGTGTAGTACCCATAAAGCAATCAGCCAATCAGAGACGAGTAGTAAACGACTACTCGTAGTCTTCACCAGACTCCTTTGCAGGCTGAGTAAATTGTAGAAATCGGCCTAAAATGAATGTAGCTGGCCAGGGGAATTTGACGACTATAGAGGGTCCTACACAGGTAGATTGGACCCTCTATAGTCGGCCAATTCCCCTGGCCAGCTACATTCTTTTTAGGCCGATATTTTACTATTTATTCAACCTGTAAAGGAGTTTGGTGGAGACTAGTAAATGACCAACACAAAAAACGCCCCCCGAAGCCTTACGAAGTGGTATCGCCCGTCTAACCAGCCTAAGACACCCATTCCACGATAATTGCCTCGTTTTAGAGCATCGCCGTCTCCTTTGAGTGCTTGTACAGAAGCCGAATTTATGACAACACCAGCCGACCTTACAACCAACGCCTCAATTTAGAACCCTTTGTAACAGCTGAATTATGTGATATTTCACCCCGGCCGTTCTATCTCCGTTCTTTTGTGTGGGATAGAGAGTTATCTATAGTAGCGGGGCATTAAGGGGTTTAGTGATGTTGATGAGCGTCATGATGCGATCGTTGGACGTTATTAAGGCTGTGGAACAGTCCGGGGTCCCACCGGTAACACAACAGATAAGTACATCAGCCGAAACGGCCTGCTACAAGTCAGATAACGACCACTCAGGACACATAAATGAGACCGCCTTCTATCATATGTCATCCTTACGTATTAATATAGATATAGTGAAATGGATGACTTCCTATTTAGTCCATAGAAACAAATCGAGGTACATATAAAGAGATGTATGTATGTAATGCGCTTGATAAATCACTAACTCTGGCTCTAGATCTGTCCTCGGCAAAATGGAACCAATAGATGGGCCATAGATAGTCAAATGTTGGAGTAGCTCTTACGTTACTATTGTAGGCAACCAATACTAGTACACAAAAGCCATTACAATTCTTCGGATACACGAAATAATTGGACGTCTATTGCATTTCAATGAAGCTTATTTAAATTCCCTATCAGGCAAGTACGTGTTCAGTCTATTTTTTCTTTCAACTAAGTTGAAGTTGAAACAGTAAATTTTGCCCTAGTCCCGGTAACAGGCGTGTTTGGTTTTGTTGTATCTTATCTAAAATGTACTGATACCTAGCCTAACGTCCTTCTACTGTCCTGTAACTAGCCTCTTGTCTTTTTTTTACTCAATTCTAGTTCATTTAAAGCTGTCAAGTTCAGTGTGTATATTCTACTTTTCTTGTCCTAATCCAACAACTTTGCACACATACCCCCCCCCCCTAAAAAACACATCTGGAACAAAACCGCAGTTGTTCCATGTCGCCTGGTCTCTGTGGGCTTGTTTTTAGCTTACTCTTGTAATTGAGTCATTTGAGTGCATTATAAAGTGCCCGTGCTGAGTCGATGTGACACAACTAGTCCAACTTGCCCTGCAGTACAACAACTCAGCAAGTCTCCAGATGGCAAGGCTCGCGGCGCCTCCAGCGCTTTTGTGCCGGGCCCCCGAGTCAAAGAATACCCGCCCTTCACCGCGTTTGTCCCCTGTAATAACTCGCTTCCCTCCAACAACAAAAAAAGTCTGAGAGCTTTCCTTTCTTCCGAGCGTCGACCCGCCGAGAGTTGAGAATTCCGTGGCCGGCAGAGCTCGACTAATGACCGAAGAGTCTCAGCCGGCTGGCCGCTACTTCGAGTCGGGTGAAACTTGGTCGCTAGATCGTATCTTTGCGGTTTGTTGTTCCCAAAACAATGGGCCATCACGGAGTTATGCTGCGATGCGTTCCTTACTGTTTATTCTATTAGTTCATTACCACAAATCACAGAAGAACAGTTGTCAGCGGAAAAAAAATTAAACGTGAATCATTTATTGGACGAAAACACAAAACAGCAACACTCCCTAGTTTTATGATTCTGTATTTACACCTATTTTTTGTGAACAGTTCATCTCCAAGGATATTGCTTTTGTGCTAAGTTTATTCTACAGGGAGTTCTCCCAATTAAGAATGTATTACAGCTCCGATTTCCGAACCCCAAATCCGCTTAGTTGCTGATAGTAAATAGTTCGTACGTGAGTCTCTACAAAATGTTCGTCTGTTGTAACATCTTTCCTGTAATTTGCGGTGCTCCACAAGGCCGTTCTCTTACGTTTTTCCGTGTCAACATTGCGAAGAATGTGGTAATATCTGTTATTTCCCATCCACGGTGAACTACTAACAGGTGGTGTTCGTTTTAAATCCTGGTATAAATCGTATGATGTCATTATCTCAGAGGATGTCGCGTGGAAAAAATAGCACGGAATCGTCTTATGGGTGTTTTGATATGAATAATTAAACGGCCGTGTTCAGGACAGTGGATCCCCACCCATATAGAAGCGGAGGCGTACGGACAAAAGGATGAGTAACTCGTGGTGTATAATAAGATATGAAAGGGTGTGTATTGGGTATACTAGTACCATGAAACCTTTGTTGTCTCCTTGAACCATGTTTCGAAAGTGATGCCTCAATCTTCAGTTATCATGTTTTTATCTATTTGGTTATTTATCTATCTATCAATTTAAGCCTTTGTTGAAACCTGATACTAGTATATAAAACAAAACATCAATAGATTTATCTTTTGAGTCTGAAGCAATCTTTTGAGTTCCAAAAAAAGTCTGTAAACCCTCTTCAAACTCTAGATAACTTTCTTCTTAACTTCCAAGTTTCCCGTCCTCTCGATGAAGAATGGACATGCTAGTTTATAAACGTCTTTACAAAATCGCATTACACAATATCCCCTTTTAAACCCTCGAGGGATGACTGTTGGGTCGCCTATTATCGATTGCCATAAATGGTCGTCAACGAAGTATGCAAATGAGCTGGGCCGATTACCCCCGACGTCACGAGAACCGTTCCGACCCCGTCCGACCCGAGCCGAGCCGAGTTGTCTGACGGGTCCTGGCTTCATTCTCACGCCCCACTCTTCCCAACATTCCACGACGGGAAACTGTCGACTTCGGACGTTACCTTTAAACCACCAGCACTTGGATTTTCCTTCATTTTCATACCGTGTCAAGGAGTGATTCTAACTTCCCATAGGCGGAAAGGACCGGGAAAGGCACTTTTCCTATCAGGTGAGTTGGCTACGAGCCCTCCAGTCGGTGATGTTGAGCTATAGGTAACAATTACTGCGGAGTGTGTTTTTTTGAAAGCCCGAGTGGCTTTGTAACGTTTTACTTGTCACGGAGAATTACATTACCCGAGTGTCGGAAGCCGTTGGTTTGTTGACGGAACGACGCCCGGTTTGAGTGTTGGGGCCTGTTTATTTTAGAGCGGCTTTCTCCGAGATCCCTTTTCAAGAGAGCGTCCGTACTCACGCTGCTTGGAACTGTTCGCCCATGAAGCCAATTTTGTCAACCGTCCCATGAAGACACGGCCGGGTCAGGCTGGTACAATAGGGGTCACCTTTACAGAAAGAAGCGGCTTTTGTCATGAAAATTTGCGCCAACAACGAACCCCACCACCCCCTGAAGTGGGGCAAATTGAAAGAACTTCGAATGGCAGAGCGGGAGGGAGGCGCTCTCCATATTCATACAAGACAAACTAGGCGGCTTTTCTTTCAAAATTTCTTTGGAGCGACAACATAAGGACGACACTGCGTACCTGTGTTGGACGCCATATTTTTTCAGTACGGGTATGCCCTGGGGGCATGTGTAACAGAAGGCACGGTTATTTTCTTTTCCTAAGCCTACATGAAGACCATGAACCATGTAAACTTCCGATTGTTGCGAGGCAGAAGTGGCCAATTACTGTATATTATGGCAGCCTGTTGGGGGTTGGCGAGGCCGGACTTATTGCGGATACACAAAAGCGGCAATTTCTGCTTCAAGTCGTGTCCAATATTCAGTTCTCTCACCTGCTGAGATCCTCTAGTTTCTTCAGAGAGGGTTTTTTTAGTGTACGGATGTACACGATGCGCAAAAAAAAAATACAGAAAAGAACTAAATCGTGACTGTATATGTGTTTGTAACTTGTTCAGCGCAAACTAATAATGACAAATCCGAAGGAATTACAATTTACATTTCTTGCATTTGAAAAGAACTCGCAGCAGGAACTAGGGTTTACTCAGTTCGCATATCCCACATTTCTTTCCCTCGTTTGCATTCCTGGAAAAAAGCTCACATGTGGCCACGAAGACAATGAACCATATTGTTCACGCCGAACTTCAGCACACAAAAACCTGTTTGCCTGTTGGTAGAGGTGGACCTGTTTTTCCACTAACCGTTTGCTTCAAATATTTCCTACGCGAAAACACAAACCAATCGCAGGAATGCTCAGTCAAATGAGAAGGAAACCAAACGCCATCTCCTTCCCCGGCGCTAATTTGCAAAGTGGGGGAGAGGAGGTCTTTACAAACACTCCATGCCCTTACACAGGGATAAATGTCGTGGCGTTGTTTGAATTTGGTGTGTGGACGGGACATTTTGAGGATAAACGCAAAGTCGACCCGTCTGCCCCCCTCCCCACATAGTCAAGCCCCTAGCTAGCCCCATTATCTCTGACACGGGATGGCATTTCTAAATCTCTCTTCCATTTGGAGAGCTCACCCCTGCCCCTTGTAGTCCTGTGTGTAGCACGCCGCCGGTAAGTAACGTTCTCTCCTACCTTCCCCCTCGCCATTGAACCCGGATGGTGTTACGGGACGATGACAGGTATACCGCAGGTTTAAAGCCGAAGCCGAGGCTCCGAACGCCCCCGACGCGGCGTGGTTTTACACGAGCGAGCATTTGAAGTAGTGTGGCGTAACGTAACGCGAGACGGGCACTAAGGGAAAGACTTCTTGACTATCGCTCGGTTTTTTTCATGTTTTCTTCTCGCCACCTGGGCCCAAATCTGAGGTTTTAGCGTCGGTTTCCCTTTAACAATCGGAGCCAGGTTGGTTGACAGGTAGGTCAGTGTTTTTGCTGTAGTGAACGTAACGCTAATTTGTAACATACATGTCGAGTGCAAGCAAGGGTCGTCAGGCCTGGTACTACTACTGGTAGTAGCCTTTACCCTGGCGGGCCTTCTAGTTCTACTCAGCATCTACATCGCCGTTAACATCAGTTCTTCTTCATGTTCCTGATGGCTAATTTCCAACCATACAAGTAGAAACGATCATCTAAAATCTAAATCGTCAACCTTACGCCCCCCCCCCCTCCTCCGTACCCCTCCCAGCCCCTATATTTTTCATCCTAGTCATCTGGGTTTTGTCTTGTCGTCTGCCCAGTGACATTTATAGGCTATGGATCGTCAGCTAGTGGGAGATAAGGATTTAGGAGAAGCGATCGAGCAAAAACAGAGCAGGATACCCGGTGATACGGCTCAGTACAGCCTAGCTATAAGTATAAACATGTCCCGTGGTATGTTACAGGTACTGTAGACAAGCATATCTTTCGTAGTCTCTGTCTCTATCGTATTTTCAATCACCCTATACTGTATAAACTATAATGTATTCATCCACTATATATCACACCCAATTCCCATATCTCTACCCGTGACATTTTCCCTTTTATCCGCACTGGGAACTTAATAAACTAAATTGAAATTAATGGATACCACAAGCGCAGGCTTACGGAGCAGAGGATAACCGTTTTTATGTCCTGGATTATGATAAATGGAAAACCTTTCATGTTCCCTTCTAAGCTACATGTATGTACAGACTAGGCCATAGTAACGTATAGTGAACTAAGGTGTATTTACAAACGTTAACATGCATACTGGAATACAGGTAACGCTATACTAAGCGAAATTACCATACTTTAGCAATTCCCCATGCGTTCCTCGCTAAGTGCTGAAGGCGTCTGACAGAAAAAAGACGATGACAGGTAAGGAAACGCCTGCGATATTTCACTTCACGTTTTCCTCCAGGCCCGAGACACTGATGTTGAACTCGCGATTTTTAAAGCTCATGATTTTCCCCAGACTTCGGTATTTCCAGCAGGACTGCAGTACATATATGGTCACGTCACTCAAATTCACCCGTTTGAACCAACTGTACGTTAGAAACGATAGGTCCTTTGCTTTGTCGTACAGAGGGTTTGTCGTGCCCCCCTCCCTCATGTTTCCATCTGACCTACATCACCGATATTGTTTACACATTCGCCATGTGACATAAACAATCAACAACATTTTAAACGTTCGCGTAGGGTCGCGTCATTTCTTAAAATACGCCTCTCCTTGGCCTTTTAATTACTCAAGCATCCCCTGGTATCAACCCACGCTCCCTCAAAGCCGAGTATTTTAGTCTGAAACATTTTCCCGCCAAGTAAACGGCACGGTTAAATGGTTTCCCCGTCCCCATGCGCTGTCAGGGTACATCTGTTGAACGATTCAGTTGTAAGCAGTGACCGTGAACTCCACAGCGTGGCTTCTTTCAGGTTCTCAGTTTCACGTATGGGAAATGTACAGGTGATGACATTTTCTTTTCAAGGGCACTCTCACAAGATCACAGAATGTTCCGTATTTTCTTAAAACTACCAACCAAACCTTTATTACGGTTTCAGCGAAACGACAGCGGCACTGCCACTCTCGCACGCGTAGTTGTAGGTGTAGAAACAATTCTACATCGTTTATAAACAACCCGGGGTTCTTCAATTCCACGGGTGACTTTGCCTGTAGTACGATCGCTAAGTGTTCTCCCAAATTTCGTTCCAGGTCGTCCTCTAGTTGACCCAGAACAAGCGTGAAATTCCCAAGACGTCTCATCAGGGCTCAGGTTTCGCGGGACGACAGGAGAAAACGATGAGACACAGAAGAAAGGACGGCGGCTCACCTTTCGTGCTACCAGGTGAGTGTATTGAGAGCCAAGAGCCCGTGACTGTGGGCCACAACCTGTGCGTTGTTTCCAACCGGTGGCATAGTCAACAAAGGCTTTGTGTTCTGTTGTTTTAAAGCGACAGGCCTCAAGTACTCAGCTGCCGGGCTGTAGTGTTATTTTTTTCGGTGGGGGAGACGATGTAGGTTATAACAACAGTGTTGTACAAGGAGGCATGGTTTCTACGCGTCGCATATGTTTCTAAATGGACCGAGGTTCCAAGCATTGTCCTGTGTGCTCGCGAATTTCAAACGTTCTGTATGATGCTTATGCGGAATGCCATAGTAGATGGACTTGTATGTGGGGTCTGTTATTCTCGTTACGGAGTTCTAAAGCGTCTTTGCAGGCCGCGTCGACGGTTTTAGCTGTTTGTACAAGGCCGAGTGCCGTCCTATGGATGATAGGGTAAACAATTCGTGTTCGTTATCCTACGGTATGGCCCCGCTCGCCACTGGGCCCTCTCTCAGTAAACGTCAAAGTCCTGTCAAGTCAATGTTGTTGTAAGGGTAGTTGTGATAACGTTCGGCCCATCCTGGTAGTCTCTGGGAAATTACTGTATAGTCTGGTGGCTTCAGTAAGTGTTTGAGACGCCCCACATGTTGGGTGGTTCGAGTCTTTTACGGTCAGCGTCAGACCACGATTTTGACGAAACCTGAGTCCAGTTTTCCTGTGCTCGGCTCCTGATTTTGACTCCTTCTGGGACGGGAGTGTTTGTTGTTGCTTGTTTACTGTCTCCTACTAATATAGACTCCATCTGTTGTAGCCTCGACCCCAGTACACTGGGTAGAGTTCTTGATCAGTGACAAGGCGAGGAGACTCGCAAACCATCTGTTTTGACATCACAGTCTGGGAACCAGTCTAGTTAGGCCTGTGGACAGCCCATATGTAGTCTCAAAATCAGGACTTTTGGGCGTTTAAAGTGATATTAGCAAGGGTTTTATGGCTCACTTTCTAGCTTACATATCGTATTTCTATTCATGAGGGTGGGATTTGAGGTCCCAGACTATTCGAGAGTGGAATTTAAAAAAAAAAAAGAAGCCACACACACAGAAAATCCCTTCAGGCAATTCAAACTATCGTCTCACCTTCGCTTTAAATCCAAGGGTTTTTATCTGACAATTCTCCAGTCCATGCTGAGACCGTCTTGTCTTGAGTGATGTTCTTCATTTATATCCTAATCCAGGATTACCAGATTAAACTTGAACCTTTTATGTAATCTTGTCTGTCATTGGCGCCTTTCTGGTGTCCTCTAAGTCATTAGATTGGGATACAGCCGTTGACAGACAGATCGCATATGCCTTACCTTCAGCTAGATTCTCATGTAACTTTGACCTTGGTGGATTAAGAAAGGATTTAAGGAGAGACAAGACGAGAAAATATACCCAAAATTTGAACTTGAACTGCCCTAGGCTCTGTTTACTGAGATTAAGTTGTATATGTGAGGCATCTACTAATGATCATTTTGAAAAACTCAAGAACCAACTGTCAAGAGTTTTGGGAGAAATTATTTCGTGTCTGTGTGGTGGCATTTTCTTTTTTCCTGGGTTCCAAGAAATTTTTCGTCCAATTTGGTTCCCAGTAATTTCTATCCACGTTATCCATGGTCAGTGGGCATCAAAGGGTCATTTTGTTGTCCGGACAGGGCTGAAAGAAAACAAGTGACCACAATTTTGTTCCCTGTTGGAAGACTTCGATAATTAGACTGGGTCTGAGTCGCCATTTTCTTGAGGTGGGGAAAACATGCAGCACGAACAAAGCGACGAGACGAATAAATCACCCACACTAATACCCACCTGACAAATTGGATAATGCGCACCTCAGCGAACATCGCCATGGAAACCAGACTTATTTCAGATCTTTGGGCTAAATTGGTCTAGTTTTCGCGGGAAGTCTTATTTGATTGGTCGCTGGGATTATCCTTTGAGAGCAGGTCCTGCTTTGAGTGTGCTTGTTAGAAAATCCGTGCAAGCCGACTGAAATAAAATTGTATACATCACAAGAATTGGGTTGAAATTTCAGCCAATGTTTTCGCAAAAAGTTGCGACTATTATATTACCAGCATAGAGCATAAAACAATACTTCTTTGTCTTGTTTTTCTGGTCCTAAATATAATATCAACAGAAGAAAGTTTACAAGATCGTATTACTGAGGTAGCTATTAAACTGATGTAGTAAACGAATATCGAAATACTGAAGTAAACGTTAATTTCAGTAGTTTGGTGTAAGGGTTTGCATAGGGAACTACGGAAATTCTGTACCAGTGCTCGCAATCTTCCATCAGACTTATGCACACAAAGAATGACTGTGCAGTTATGTAAACAACTGTCATCTATACACACACAGCCACACCGGCAGGGACTTCTGAGAAGAGCTCTAGTGTTTTCCTGTTTGTATATTACCACGAACTCAAGTGTACCTCAAAATCAAGCAACTATCTTGAATGGTTGTTATAGTATATAAAACGTGAAGCCGTATTGAATGAATGGGAGTGAAACTGTGAAAAGGCGTGCCATTTTTGTACCCCCGTGCCAGTTAGCACGTCTGATATATGTTTATATAGGCCGACTGTGATGTTTGTCTTTCGGACGATCGTCCGTCAACTAGGCGAGAAGTACCGATAAGGCGAGGGGAGGGAGGGGGGTAGTTAGTGACTCGGCGTCACTGGGTGGGTCGTTCATTAGCATATCTTCTTCGCCATTTTTGTAAGATCTTATCTGGGCTCTTTTTATACACGTAAACATACTTACGTATCGAAGATTTTAGGTTTGTCCCAGTCCCAGTCTAGAAGGGTACTTCATAGAAGATGACTCAAAAGCTGACTCACACCGCATGCAAACGCACAAAATTATAAGACACGAGTCTTATACAAACACCTGAAGAGGTTAAAAGTTGAGACTTAAAACAGAGACGTTTGTGTTTTGCAGTAGTCTGGAAGATAGAAAGCAGACATTCCACGCGACGGGTTTAGAACTTAGAATAACAAATTATTCAAGTGCGTCTCTCGTCACCAAGATTTCCCGACATCAAATAACGTTTGTTCAGCGAGACACGCAAAACGATAACGTCAACAAATCGTGTGCACAGTTCTGGAACCGATACCCTGTCCATCGCCTCTTGTTTATTTTTTTTTTCTTCTTTCGATGTAAAAGAGATCGCTTCTGAGAGGTACTAGTACCTCCTCAATATTCATATAAAACCGTGAATTTATCTCGAACATTCTTCACACGTTCTTTCTTATGAAAATCAGCCCTGTAGTCTTGTATGGGTTTCTTATTCATTCCCCTTGTTCAGTATTTGTATAGTAAGGAACCGATAGTGTTATGCTAAGACCCTTGCGAACACTAGTACGAAAAAAAAAAGAATGAAGAACAAGACAATTAGAACCCATTTGAAACGTGGCTTTTGAGTTCAAAAGACCTGGGTTTTCCTTTTGTAAATGAGGTACGTGTTCTATTCAGTTTGTACGTAACCTTGTCCACATGCCATACATATGGATAATGCGATCAGATAATGTAATTATGAAAGACCTCCACGAAGTGAGACAAGTGTCTATACGGCTTCCTATCCTAACGTGCAAAAAATGAAGGTTTAGACACTTTTCTCCGTAGCTTTCCTGTCATGTGATATGGAACAAAAGGGCTCATTCCTCTACAACAAAAGGATAAAATGAAATTATGAAAGAATTCCATGCTATTTTTATAAGCTTCCTACCCCTATAGGGTTTTGGAAGAAACTGTCATGTACAACTTTGAAACTTACCTTTAATATGAAAAGAAAAAAGGAACGAAATACAAATGAAATACACGTACAAAATTTAAGGGTGCCGTTTTGAAATGTTTCCCGTAGATTGTGCAAGAAGAACATGCTTTTAACTCTGTTATGTCACCATCATTATCTATACCAGTATCCGACAACAAGTGTCTACAAAACTTCCCAGTTATCTGACAAAATCAGAGTCTCGTCACGATTCGCTCTACCTGAACCCATTTCGAGTCACAAAGAACAATAGGACAGTGACAGTGGCATTCCTCCTGTGTTAGTACATGTCACCTGTATGGTCTACTATGTGACGCCTTTAGACACTGTGTCTCTACTTACCGTTAGATTCAACCACAGATAATGTTTCCTAACTGTAGAGGAAGTACTAGTATGATACATAGTTCAGGTAAAAGGTAAGTCATAGCATTGCAGTAACGAACCTACTTGTATCAACCAATGAGCGACACTCTTTCAGAAGCATCTGGTCTAAAAGCATGCTGCCAACGCTATATTCACGATTTGCATACAGTTAACAAATGAAGCTTGCGACAATGTATCTTTACACGGTGCCAGACAAAAACAAGAATATTATATTCCCACTGGACTTTCATTAAAAACGTGGTCATTGTGCGCAAAACAGCTGCTGTATACAAGCGTCCAGCTGTCTTTCTACATGTGTGCATCAACTATGACAACGAGATACGTTCAACAAAAATTCAGTGGAAAAAGTAGAACAACAATTTAATAGATGTTCCTTCGTGCAAACCTTGAGACGTATTCCGCCTTTATCATATTCCATAAATATCCGATTATCAACTTATGACTTATCATGATAGTTGACTTGTCATATCTATATTGAGAATCTTACTTTTAATGTAACATGACTTTGGGGTTGAGGATGAATCATAACACATGAGCAACTGGTGGTAGATTTTATGGTAGCGGAGGTTGTATGATTCAGATGTTTCTGGTAAATTCTACTCAAACGATTAATGATTTCGATGACTCATTTCTTTGATGACGCCGATGTATCATATTGTTCGCTTTTGTCTGTGATGTACTTCTTCTCTTCATTGACATTTGCTTGAAGTATTACCGCTAAGCCCATGAAAGTAGAAAACTAGGTTAAAGCTGCTATTTTGTATTATTACTACCCCCGTCGTTTTGTGTGGATATACGTACGCCACGCGTACGTTCCTTTGCTGTTTCTATCAG